TGGTACCATGAGTTTGGACTTAGCTCTAAGATTAATATTATGGATATCTTCTTTCTTATTGAAATTATGTATATTTTTCATTGACTTACAATTATATGGACGTCGGGTCCGCGCTAAAAAGTGTCCGAACTTATAGGGCGTTAAAATCGTATACAGAGCGTCATTCACGCTTTAGTCTTCGTTTGTTCGACTGACAGCGAAGCAAGCAAAATTAGACAGTACTGCGACGACATTACAATTTAAATTCAACGTTTTAGCTTTTACATATTCCTTTACATGTCACTAACGTAACGTTTAAATAGGTTGACTTGGGACATTTTTTTCGTGGTTTTTGTATTAGACCCGTCGTCCATTTATTTGTAAGTCAATGATATTTTTATATAAAATATTTGAGATGTAATGTTATGGAATCGCTGGCCAGCACAACTTCTATCTCCGGCAAACTCGCGTCAAAACTCAATGCGAAACAAAGCAGTTTCGAATTGACGATGTATTATGTAAACATTGTTATTTTCGTTTTATTAAAACTTTTTAATCGGGTGCCCCTTACAATACTAGCTATATATCTAAAGACTCGCGTTTCATTATATTTTTTTCGATAATTAAATGAGATTTGACCTCACTATTGAATCTGTCGAGACGGCCATCTTAGCGTGCCGGTACTGTAGATCTCGAAAGACCTACTAGAGCTCTGTCCGCCGTTTTCGCTTTGCATGGCGTGGTTGTGTCGTTATTTCGTGTAAATTCTCTAAAATCGCAGAAAATTGCCTAATTGTGCTATTTGGAGTGCAAAACCGATAGCCGCATCAAAAATATTATACCCTTAATAGTATTTCATATCATCGGTAAGTCTTATTTGAATAAATTTTCAATTTTCTGTTTATTGAATTGATTCAGATGTTCATCTTTCGTCGTAGTCCAGCGACTGGCCGCGAGATGGCAGCACGTTGAATAAAATTTCAACTTGAAATCAAAACGTCGTAACATGCAATCTGGAATTTGTTACATCTTTTTAAATTAGAAACTATGTCCAATGATTATCAAGATTTCGTAGATCATTTGTTTGAAGCTTTAGGCAGTTTCATTGTTTTTTTTCCCGTGCTGCTTACAATCCGTTAATTAGTTTTCAGTACTATTGGGCATTGTTAATTTGATACCTAAAAGTCTAAACTACCTCAAATACGCATAACAGCGAAAGTGCGGAATCAAATCACTTTATGAAAAAAACGGTAAGAAAACACAATTCCTAAAAATTTTCACGATAGAAAAAACTTACCTCGAAATTTTACAAGAAAACCAACAGTGGTTTGAATACAGATTCAATAGATACTTTACATATACCAATTTTTCGTATGTATCAACTGAATTAAATAAAAACGTATGGGTACTACGATATACATTTTTCAAAGGGTTAAAAAATAAATTTTGAAATAAAACCAGTGTCCCTGCCACTCGACCTAAGCTAAATAAATAGTATTAGTACGGGAAAAGTTAGAATTCCAGCTGAGGTAGTATCAACTCTCAAATTTTTTTTTTTCATTTCAACCAGTTACGTCATAATGATTTACTAAAAACATCCTAATTTCAACAGGGAAGATGGTTTCTCCGTACCACCAGTTTGGGATCCAGTATTTCCTCTAATGAAAAATCCCAAACAGACATAAGACTGCAGTACTAATTAATATTTTAATTTATTCTAATTTCTGTTATTAATTAATAATAAATTGAATTTAATTAAAATTCATTCAATAAAATAATTTGTAAGATTTAATATAGCGTAAATTGGAATGTTTCTTTGTAAAATTAAAAATAAGGTATTTAATTTATAACTATTGTAACTATAGTGAAAAAATAGGGTGGTTTCCATCAATATTAGACATAATTGGTTGAAGACTGTACCACCGCAGTCAACCGTGATCATGGGACCTGTAAAGGGCCCGAAACGTCGGTTTGTTTGAAAAAACAAATATATGCGATTTATCCGGAAAAATAGTTTCATTTCCTATGTGCAACAATCGCGAAAACCTAAGAACTCGATATATAAGCTAAAGTTTATTACTGACGTCTAAACAATTTCCTACAGGCCCAATGTTTCCAAAAATAAAAGGAAAGAAATAATTTCATATTTTTGAGTAAGGACTGTATGTTTTGGCCAGAATTAGCTCACAAAAAGTTTGTCTCATTTTGAGTTAAGTAGATATCTTTTAATTGTTTCTTACAATTTTCTAACGACCGTTTTATTGACATGTAGAGAATCAAATTTTGGTTTCAGCAATGATTTCATCCTGAAAATCACATAATTTGAGTTACAACAATATCGCACTTCTATTACAATAGTGTTGTAACTCAAAATATGTGAAATTCAAGATTATACTATTGCTAAACGTAAAATTTGATTCGGTCAATAAAACGGTCGTTAGAAAATTGTAAGAAACAATTAAAATAAATCTACTTAACTCAAAATTAGACAAACTTTTTGCGAACTAGTTCCGGATAAAACAGTCTTCATAAATAAGTTTTTTAAAAATTGCTTAGATGTCAGCAATAAATAAACGTTAACTTACACTTAGAATAATAACGCATAGAAACCTAGTCCGCACACGCTAAGTGAGGCAAATTGAAGCGCTCCCAAAGGGTACACGAGCGGGCGGGCCTTCAGTGCTCAAGGTCAACTTGCACCGCGAACAGCTCAAGAATTTTAGCTAAAAATGACGAAATGTGCGGTAAATGAGTGTAAAAATACGTCAGACAAACATAAAATAGATACTAACATCACATTCCACAAGGAAGTAACGCGTTTCAACTTGTATTTTTATATAAATATTCACTAAAACCGAAAATTAACCTACTACTAAAACTAGCCTACATGAATTTGATTTTTGCCTCACTTGTGACAGTTCGTTTGCTAGGAAACTATCATTCTATGCGTTATTATTCTAAGCGTACACATAAATTTTAATAGTATTTCGCTGGAAGAGAGTAATTATTTTTTCATCGATTCTGAAAAAATATACTTTTTGAGTTAATAATACACTATTGTATTAACGGTACGATATTGTAATATTAGTGCGACATGTTACGTAGACAAATTTGTAAAAATTCTAATGTAAAGACATTTTCAACTCTTGACGTCAAGCAACGCTTAAATAGAGATTATTCTTTATAATTTTTATAACAAAGACTAAGGCATGCAGACTTGGCAGTCAGTACCTTAGTTACCTTTGCTCCTTCTAATCAAATTAACATTTCCCGCGCATTTGAATCAAAACTAAAACGGACATGTCTAACGTGGCGTGACAAGCTTGACTAGCGTGACGGGCGCGTGACGCCGCCGCACCGGCCGCCATCTTTGATAGCTGTTAATATGAATTAGACTTGTTTATTTGCAAAATATACAGACATCATAACGATACCTCCAATGTACACTACGCCTACTTAATTTTTGGTTCTAATCTGAAAAACTGTTTTTCAAGTTACGAGTACAGTTTTTACAAAGATTATTTTTGTTTCGGGTATATTATGAAAAAAATGAAGAAAGAAATAGTGATGAAGAAAGTTAGAACTATATTCCTTATTTTAAACCAAATTACAAAAGACTATCCTAAGTTATTTAAGAGAAAGTGAAAACATAATGTATTACAATTTAGAACTACAATGCCAAATATTGAGAATCCCAATAATTAAACAAAGATATGGCTCAAAAGACTTGTATCCAAGCCGTAACTATCATTAAAAAAAATTGACCTAATCTGTTTTTGCTTTGTTTTTTTTTCACTACATTCATTTTTTTGCAACGACTTCAATCTATAGACAAGAAGATTCACAGCAAGTACATGTTCCAAACGAAACACTATCTATAGTGTTTTTGTGTTGAATTTTGTCATCAAAGTATACGGATTCGATCTCATAATAATACAGATATAAAAAGCGGCAGACAGTTAGAGCAAGAGCATACATATCATGCCTTATCTAAACAAATTTGGCATACTGAAAATGGAGGCCCGTCAGACGTTTTTTAATAGCAGTAGAGCTTCTTGTGAAAGAGTTCGTCCAGGGTAGCTGTACTGCCACCTTGCCTGTTTCTGCCGCCAAATTACAGGCACATGGGACTTGTCAACTTATGTCTCAGGTACAGTGGTAGTGCCTATCTATGCCAGAAAATTAATTGGTGACGACCTGTAAGGGGGAATATGTTCCAATTAGTTTCCAACAATGTTATTAACATCCCAAAGCACAGAACTGCTTTTCGTGGCGGTTTCAGGTATAGCGCCTATAAGTGCTGGAATTCCTCCTTTCTTGCGTGACATCAATAATAAAATACGATTTAAGCGTGAATATACAAAAACATCTTTATCTGAACAGATATGTCTCGCTAATCATATATATTTCATTGATACCTAAAAGTCTAAAATCTGAATTTCCGAATAAACATATTTGGTGGCCATAATTATAATTTAATATAATATTTGTAACAATAACTTATTATATTATTTATATTACTTACTTGCATTATTTGCATTACTTACATGATTTTGCTTTACATTTTTTACTTGATACATAACAGTTTTAGAGTTAGGTGTACGTATTTGCGTCAGTTGTGCTTTGGTGGCATGGCTTACTGCGCTACAATCGCTCACCATATGATACTGGCAGAAAACCAGCTCTGTTTGACATTTCACGGTCTACAGTATTTATGCTGAGTCAAGGCCATTTCAACACAAACTGTAGTCATACTAAAATTTTGTTAATTCTTTTTGTTTTTATCACAGTATGTGTTCTATTTGTTTTTATCACAGTACGTGTTCTATTAATAATGTATGTTCTGTGTGATTTTGTGTTATAATTTCTGAAGTAATTGTAAATATTTTGTTTCTGTTTGTATTTGTGCTGAATAAACCTATTGTCCATCTATCTACCCAAAAACTTAAAAGTATGTATATAACCCTGAATTTATAGGTATTTGTGGCGCAGATGATGTGATAGTTGGTGTCGGTACTTACAACAGCAGCGGCTCGTAATGCCGCTTGCAGTCTCTCAATGTGTTGTATGGCAGCGCGAAGTATTTCTAATTTGGGTAGTCTTCCACTGCCAGCCCGCGCTCTTATTCGGAGTTCCTCGAATGCTGCGTTTACCTGAAGACGACATAACAAAATACATAGTTATAATTATTAATACAAAGATTGAAAGATCTTTGTATTAATAATTATAACAAACTAGTGGAGTAATTTCACAAAAAATAATTGAATATCAATTCAATAAAAATTTAATTAATACAGTGAATAGTGACATCTCTCGCCAGGATTGGTAGCTGTAAAGGTACTAACTGGGTGATAAATCTGTCAAAGATTTCTCATAGATGGCGCTACGACTAAAAAGTCGTTGAAAGACCAAGTACAAAGACACGACGCAAGCACATAGAAAAATTCGTGAAGTTCGTTGGTTCGTTCCGTGGCTTAGTTGGTATAGTGTCTGGCACGGTATGCAAGAAGACGTCGGTTCAAATCCGACCGGATCGAAGGAATTTTTTCTGAGTGTTCGGTCTTTGTATTAATAATTATAACAAACTAGTGGAGTAATTTCACAAAAAATAATTGAATATCAATTCAATAAAAATTAAAAAAATACATAGTGTTTTTTAAATGAGTCAGTATGGGGAATCCGAAACCATAGAAGATACAAGGATTTTTAGGGCTGATAGTTTCATGAAGGAATCATTTTGATTGTATGAGGCAAGAAACCCCGTGTGCCTGCACTTTAACCAGCACCTTACCTTTCAAAATTGAAACACGTTAATGCTCATGTTACCGCTTGGCGGCAGAAATAGGTAAGATGGCAGTTCTTCCCTGAACGAACTCTTTCACTGGCCTTCTTGGCATTGTTAACGCAAAAGGCTTAATTACGCCAATATCAGCACGTGCCACGAATTAGCTTGAGGCGTAAAAAGCTTCTAATAAGAATCGGTAGCAGTCTCTAAAAAAAAAACAAGAAGTGCCTTAGACCTCGATTACTAAGAGAACAGATGTCGCCAAAATCACACTTTATTAATTTGAAACATTACAAAATCTTGATATTGTATGGTCGTAGTTACAAATTTAAAAAGATACAAATTCTGGATTGTTACTATAATTTAAATTTTACCGTGTTCACATATCGTTGGAAGTTCAATACCATCAATACATGTTACTGGAGTTAGGACGTTTTGATATTATATTAAAATTCCAATGAATATAATGCCATCTACTGGTTAATTGCGGAACAACGACGAATTGGATTTATTAATTTAGTTCTCCAAAAAAAGCAGCGTAGGGGTTGCTTTACTTTTGTTTCTTGTAACAAAAAAATATTTCGATAAACTGAAAATTTATTAAAATAAAACTATTCGATGATATGAAACAAAACGAGTAAAATATTTTTGGTGCGGCTATAATTTTTACACTCCAAAACACCACAATAAGAAACTTTTCTAGGATTTTCGAGTATTTGCACGAAAGAATGACACAACCATACCATACAAAGCGACAATGGCGGACTGAGCTCAGATATTTCTTGCGAGACCTATAGATGGCACGCGTCGGGCGTTAACTAACCACTTCTACTGTATTTATTGTTGTGTGGTCTCTACGGGTGTTTCGTCTTTCGTAGTTTATGCAATCGTTGAGGGTTCTAAATGTCGAGTCAGGAGGCGTTGCCGAGTGGCCTAAATAATTGGTACGAGAATTTAAGACCTTGGTTATGTAGGTAATGATTGCATACAATACATTTTCTACGAGTATCTAAACCACACAAACACAGCCAATATTTAATGTATATAATTAATTAAAGGCGCAGAAGGGCCTTCATCAGAATTGCTCACTGCCTTAGTTACGTAGTACTGGGCGTCGTGGTAAATAATTGAACAGTCACCCAGTCACTAGCTATTTAATTTATGGTATTTTAATTAATCAATGAAATCAGTACACTACCATTTTACCCAAATTATTGTGAAATAGAAATCAACATTAATTTATGCGAAGGAACACTGCTTGCGTGGAAATAGAGCGATTCGTCGCAAGGTCCGATGGCTGTCACGCGAACGGAATGACCGTTAAGATGGCCTCCCGGCTGCCTTAGACAAACGAATTATGTTAACAATCCACAAACAAAAGTCAAACAAAAAAAAAACAAATAAATAGAATAAAAGTGGCAAAGTACCGCTTACATTTTAACCAATTTTGAACTGAAAAATTTCATTATAGTGGTTTCTCTTACCCCACAGGAGGTAATATCAAGAGTATAAAAGATTATTGAAAATCTTAACAACAAAAACAAATACTAGAAAAACATTATAAACAATAAAGCTAAAATATTAAAAATACAGTCAATTGTTCAAAAAAATTCAATATATAAATAAAATAAATCAATCAAATAATAAAACAAAAGCAATGTGGAAACTAATAAATGAGAGAACAAATAAAACAAGTACAAAGACAAAATTTAATATAAAAGTATATTGAGAGAAAAACGCCTTGAATTGGAGAAATAGTAAAATCAATCATTAAAATACTTGCTCCTAAATTAAAGTTAGGCGCTATTTATAAAAATGAATCTTTATGCGTGAACAGCCACCCTAAAAGGTGGATGATTTTCTTCAAAATGAAACGGGACTACTATGGAAGTACCCCCTATTCAACAAAAAAAGAATCATGAAAATCGGTCCGCAAATACCGCAGTTATCGCGTAACATACATACAAAAAAAACATACAGTCCAATTGAGAACCTCCTCCTTTTTTTGAAGTCGGTTAAAAATACAAACTTACCTCGAAATTTTACAAAAAAAACCATTGTATTCAATGTATTTGATTATTAGAGATAATAGATTTTTGTTTTGTACCAACTAACCATTTTAATACCTGGATTGGTTCAAACTGCGAGATCACCAGATCTCACCCCTTTAGATTTTTTTTTGTGGGGATATGTTAAAAATCAAATTTACCTTGAATCCTATGCGAGTGCAAACGAGTTGAAGGCTGAGGTTCAGAATACGATTTGTAATACAATTCATCACAACACGTTATTAAAAGTTACTCAAAACGAATTCGTTAAAAGATTAAATTTGTGTATCCAAGAACTAATTAGTTAGATTACCATTTTTTTCGTTTTATTAAAATACGTTAATTTCATGGTTTTTTTTTTCATTTAATTAACCAATTTTGTGAGAGAGATTTTATTCTTACAATTAACCCTATCGATCGATGCAATAAAAGTGCAGGGTGCATTTTTTTCAGATTAACGCGGGTTCGATTCCCGCGTGTTGCTAGAAATTTTCGAAAATCTATGAATGCAGTTTTGTTTCTTTTAAAAAATAAAGGAATGTTTCCTTTAAGTAAAAATTTCTATCTACAGTATTTAGAGTACTTTCCTTCCAGGTGGCATTACAAATTTCCACCCTGTATATTATTGTTATATGCATAAAGTCACTAACATGTGCATTTTACGTCCAAAACATTTTTTTTAAATTTTATTTTATGCTAATCTGCTCCTCTCTCCTTTGTATTGCGTGCCCGACGTGGTCCATAATATTGGTCTTTTCTGTCTTACTAAAATCTCATTGTATACAATATGGTTTTGCAATAAAATATTGAGTATTGAGTATTGAGTAGAATATGTTAATAAACGAACCCGAAAAAATGTTCATGATCTTTGAAATGTCACGTTAATAGTGACAGATGTCGTTTACATTTTTGATTCCAAATACCCTCTCGAAAGTAGCTCTTTAAATTTGCAATAAATTGTAGTCTAGTTGGTAATAAATAACAATAAAGCGTACTACGTATGCAGTGCAATAAGTTTAATGTGGTCGTAGCACCCGCCTGCGTCCATTAGACCAGCACATTACGATACGCGAACGTGGCAAAAGCCTCGAGTAAAGGAGCAGCCACACTATTGTGTTGACAACTTCTCCAAACAATATTCAGGCTAGTTTTCTTCATCTAATTTTGGTGGCAATTTCTGTTATATGAATATTCTATGATATTATCATGAAATATTATTTACATATTCGCTATAGTATACTCGAACACTTGCCACTGAAATCAGGTAGTGAAACCCAACCTGAAACGTACCCCTCTAAATGTATAATTAATTACAATTATTATACGACGTCTCTAGTCAGTCGTTGGTAGCTCGTTGGTAGTCGTTGGTAGGTAAAAAGACCGTCAAATTTTGGCTTAAGAGTAAAACCTACAATGATACCGAGGACTTGTTGGAAGTTCTTTCATAATTTATATTTATATAATAAGTAATGTTTAACTACTTATCTTTTATAAATTGTAACGACTTATAACTACTTATCTTTTATTTGTTAAATTTATAAAATCTTTATTTTTTTTTAAGCTTTGTTATGAAAAATGCACTATTATGCCTAAAATACAGGTACACATGTACTTAGTTTAGGCATCGCAATTGCACTATTAGGCACTAAGATTAAAATGTTTAATTTTACCATGATTATTTTATATAATTTAGATTTTTTTTTTTGTTTTGTTTATTACTGTTTATTTTAATATTTTATCTTCAATTACATTGTTTTCATTATAATTGTATTAGATTAAGT